ATTTCTGTCTACTATAGTGCTACTTTGCACGAATTTGCATTAATAGTGCAAAATAGTGCAATTATTTTTGGGGACCTCTCGATTTTGCACTATTTTTCACTATCCAACTACTGTGTCTATTAAGAGCTAATTTGTACTAAATAGGTGTAATTCGCAAAGGTGGTTTTTACAGATGTAGTCCGCCATTGAACAACGAGTTCAATATCTGATATATCGACTCCCTAGTTATACAATATAAGCCTGTAATTCTCAATCTTTTGAACCATTAGAAACCATACCATGCCAAATGAGTCAGTGCAATACAGCCCGTATAATTTGCCCTCCTGGTACTCCCTTGTTGACTCCTCACGGAACTCGTGTGAATTGTTTGCGTTGAACCACACAATGCGGTTCCGCTCTTCACGTGGCATGCGCTTCTGAAGGATCTCGGCAGCACGGACAGAGTCTTCAATGTTGTCAAAAAAGACGAGGAATTTCAGGATGTACATCCCAGGTGTCCAGTTGTCTGGAACCAAAAATTCAAGGTCTTTGCAGCTGGCGAGGGGATGCTTGATCTTCTGAACGGTTAGAAACACATTTGGGCGGTCATTTGACCGCCATATTAGCTTGACAGCCCCGCGCTGCATCTGCAAGATGCTCATGACATCATTGAGAACATGCTCGGGCAAGGTTGCCGAGGGGACGTAAAAGCGGACGGTGCACGACATCAAGTGCCGTAATCTCGCTGCGTGAAGGTACTCCTCCCGAAAATGACCCCATGCACTGATACAGTGCCCCTCGTCCCAAATGATTGATATCACCTTGTCCATAAACCTATTGTTCTTCCACAGCCGGTCAAAACCGAAGCGCGGTGAAGGCCTGACAGCCAATTCTGGGCCTGTGACAAGAACACAGAATTGGAGATCTTTGGCGGCCTATGATTACGGTAACCTTCTCAGCACTTGCTATTTATGGTGCGCGTCAGCTTACCTGGAAGTTCTCGGTGGTGGCTGTATCGCCTCGGAACGCGAACGCGGGTATACTGAGCTGGGCAAGCTGCTGACTATTTTGGGTTCCAAGAATGTTGAGCGGTGAGATAATGACTTGGATACCATCCGGGCGGAAGAGGAGTGGCATCCAGAATGTGAGCATCTTGCCAGAGCCTGTCCCGGAGATGCAGACCAAATCCTGGTCACCGCGAAGCTGCGCGAGGGTCGCCTTGCACCGCCAGAGACATGGACAGTGCCCGAACTTCTCGAGAGTGCGTGCACGAATCTCTGCAATGGTCGGCAGTGCGGACGCGCCTTCCGAAGGCATGACGCCTCGTAGTGGGAGCATTTCGTTGAACACAACTCAGTAAATCATTTCCTAGAAAATCTCAGGCGCCCTCGGGGGAGAGCTGCTAAACTTGGGTGATTTTTGATGGCTGTCCTCCGGGCTCCGGTTGTTTACCAAAGTTTGGTGCCAGCCGCTGCTGAGAGTTGAGAGCCATTAAAGTTTCGGAGTTTGAATTGTGCACGTGGAGATAAGAGATTAGATTACATCCACTACCCTACACCGCCGGGCGAGAGCGATAAGTGTCAGATATCGTCGGGAGAGGCCGATCACATACCGTCGGCCATATCGAATCTCTATCCACGGGGTACCTCTCATCAATATAACATTAGACCTTCTTGATCCCATACCGCTGATCCCATATGCCATTCAGGTCGCCCCCGTCTATAGTCCATGTTCTCCCCTTTATCGACTCTGCATGGTTCCGATGGTGCCCGTTTGATTAGCTGCCGGGTTTTATGTCAGCTACCGCCCACAATCCCTCACGTTCGAATAATCGCCATCGAATCATATAGGTGTAGAATTGAAATATAAATATATTGAGCGTGTTACAGACTACATAATATGTACAGGATGCGTGTTACATGGAACGACGTCGGATACTGGCCCAACACGATACCTGGTTCCCTCGGACGCCCTCCTGTTCTCTCTCCTTCCCGCTGTCCTGCTCGCGTGAGCATGGCGAGTCTGGCAGCCGATGTTGCTGGTCAGCAGATGTACAAATCGAGGGATTCCAAAAGGACATGTACACAATTTGCTCGACTCACATGCTTGACGACACCAACCCCGGACTCCTGCGTGTCACAAAGCCTGCCCGCTTGGCTGCTGGCCCCATATACTGAGACAACGCTAACTGCACAACACATGAGTCCTGCGTGGATCAAGATGATTCAAAGGGCAGGACATACCAAAGGAAAGGCGATGTGAATCACCGCATCTTCCTCCTCAATCGACTGCTATACAGAACGATGAGCAACTGCCTTAAAGGGTGTACCACACGCAAGGGATAGAGAATGATGACAGAGACGAACCGTACTGGACCAAGGGATGGAGATGCAGGTAGACCACAGGTGCAGTGAAGGTCGAGGATGGTGAGGACAAAGACGATTCTTGCCGTAAGTCCGACGTCGTTGAAAACTTTATACCTCGCAACAAGCCCAAACCTTCACGTGTCCGCCGGAAAGCGGAAAGATTGGCCGAGAGGCGATGGCGTGCTCAGACATATACTTGATGCAGTTCACCATATCATCACAGTATGAGCCCGGTATGAGAACAATGTCAGAGAGGAAGTATCACAGAGACAACAGGATGAGACTTCATCGATGTCAGCCACCATGTGGCGCCAATATAGACGGCTGATACCCATCCCTCGGTCTTATGATATTGGACATACGTGATCTATAAGGTTGCCTCCTAAGACCATTTCGATATCTGGAGTCGCCCGGCGGTGTAGAGTACTTCAGCCTGCCCACCGCGCTCGGATTTGCTCTCAACTCGAAGCAGCGGGTGGGACGGAGCCTGCGCGCCGCGTCTCGCGCATTTGCCTGTTTTCCCCTCCTAAGCGCCCCCAAAGGAACTTCGGACCAGTGTTGTTATGACCCCGGTTATGACCGAAGTCATGACCGGTCATGACCCGGTTGACCGGTCATGACGGTTTGTCAAAAGTTAACGCGTGATCTGGGCGGTCAGGCGCTTAGTCGATCGGACCAAGGGCCGCTGAACATCCACGCTGTTAATCTACATAGACGTAGGTGAGTATGTTCAGGGCTCTGGGAGCGTGAAGCGAGATCAGTATAGGTATTATGAGAGAATAGCCTGAAATAGGATCTATAGAATACAAAACCCAACATGGCATCAGTAGTAGGCGCAACTTCAAACTACGATTTATAACCCCGGATGAGCTGCCTCTCGAGCTCCTCATCCGACTCGCTCTATTAACACATCTGATAGGTTTGTGAATGAATGATACTTCAAAGTTTTGCTTCGTAAGCAGGCATGTTGGCAGAAAATAACTCACCAGAATACACCTATCAGTATGTATAGTTACTAGTTCTCCACCGGGGCTTTGTGGGCCAGGCATCGAAGGCACCGAAGGTGCTGGTAGAAGTCCCAGGTACCTTCGTTAGTAGGACTTGCAGGATATCAGACCAACTGTCTCGATCGAAGCTAACATTGTGTTTGATGGGCAGATGT